AACAAAACCTTAGGAAATTAGAACAGAATCAACATGGAAGACACATGAAGAGTGAGACGTGAAACAAGACATATAAAAGATATAAAAGCATTCTTTCTGGTCTGGTTCCCAAATGGCAGTATATAGTAATGACATCTTTCCTTAACCCCGGCTTGGAAAAAGCGTGTCTACAGCTCACCAACTGCAGTCCAAGACAAGGTGACATCCAGAACTCTGAGTGGTTGATGATATGACTTTAAAGCATAAATGGTTCACTGCACAGTTCCAGAGTAGCACCCACCACCCAAGGAAGAAAACAAAATCCTACGGACGCAATGCAATTTACTCATGAACAGGCAGCACACATTGCTACACTGTCACCAAAGAAATGGTTCAAATTCTCACCACGTGTACCCTTTGCCATCTCACTGAAGTCTCTGGTATAGCTCGTGTAACTCCATACAACCGCAGTAGCTGGGCTCTCCCGTGATAACAGCAGTTAATCGACAGGACAGGCGAAATGGAAAGCAAAATCTCCGAACCTGTCAACAGTGAATTTATTGGCTTTATTTACCAAAGCTGACGTGGGTGAGGTATAGGAAAATGCATCCACAGTCAGCCTGCAGTGCCTCCAAGACAGTCTTCCAAGCCCAGCAGAACATACTTCAATAGTTGTCTCATTTGTTTCTTATCCAAAAATGCCTATGAGCCCAGCAGTTTATAAAACAATTGTTTTAAATCAAAGAAAAAAAATTTAAAAAAGGGTTTCTGGGGACCACTCTTAACACTTCTGTATCTCCATCTCAATAGCTGTATTCAACCCGTTCTGCTCACTGCTCAGTCCCAATTACAATGAGCTAGCTCGCTGCTCAGTCCCAATTACAATAAAAGTATTCAATTTCCTCTCTGATTTCCCTTCAACAACAGATTGCAACTTGTGACACTTCAAGCTAATTTTGGTAGCTCATTTAACACACACTGAAACCTGAATATGTTCCCAAGCTCTGGCTCATTGCAATTAAGGATGGAGAAAGGAGATGAAACCTCTGGAGGTTGAGAACCCAACCATGATTACTGCAATCTAGAAACTTGTTTTTTCCCAATATTCTTGGGGTACAGATAGAATCTGTAGTGAATGATTAATGGACTATAGGCAGATCAATGAAACTCTGCCCTTAATGTATTTAAACCAACTTGGGTGGGGGTCAGAGAAGTCTAACCAGCCAGTATCCTGTAATTTGCAACTCTTGATGTAGTGAAATAGCATAATGCATCTTATTTACCGCGGCTGGTTTCTCTAGCCCAAATACCTGAGTCACGTGAGTGGTTATTTTTTTCCCTTCCCTGCTTCCTACTCAGCATTAAAGTTATTATCTGGTGAGTTGGCCTCCAATATCCATTTTCATATTGAGGAGAACCTTCCTCCATCAGTTACCCCAGTGATTCCAAGAACTGAAAATTCAGGATTGTGTTCATCGCTGGTAAACACACTCAATCACTTATCAATAGAATTTTAAGCTTCCCATATAGCACTTTTCAGGGATAAGTCTTGGAGATATTTAAATTCTATCACCAATATTGAACTTCAGCATTATTTCTTATCCCTGATTTCTGTAACGAGCATAGTCACTTACTTCCAGGAATAATAAAGACTGTAGAGCATATTCTCATCTTTCTTGATGGATGATGAGTTGGCCTCAGTAAAGTTTTTAACGATGTAAAATAAAATGCAAATTAAATAGCACAATCAAAATCTAGCTATTAAAAAAATAGGCAGGCAGTATATGATACTAAGTACCACCCTTTTGCTTACATTGTTAGATAGATAATACCAGAGTATTATAAATATAATAAATCACAAAAAGCTGTTTCTATAGTCATGAGTTTCTTAAACTATGGGTCATGACCCTCCATGGGGATTCATGAATGAGTTTGAATGGGGTCACAAAAAAACTGTTAGCAAGAAGTGAGGGCACATATTTCCCCCTAAGTTGAGCAGCCTAATCTTGTGGCAGGGGAACAGGAGAGCAGACTGTAATTAGTGGCTGCAAGTATTTATACTTGCTAGGGAACTGCTAACTACCTTTAATTACAACAGCTCACTTTCTCCAGGAGAGGGAAGCAATATAGGCTAGAATTAAAATTGCTGGATAGTTGCTAACTGCCTTTCATTGCAGGCAATAGATCTGTTTCTCCAGGGAGGAAGAATAAACTTGCGACTGGATCTTATTCCCCCATCATTTAGAAATGGGGCCATTACCAACTCGGGGGGTCACACAAATATGCAATCAAACACGGCTGTATTTTGACTGTAAGAACGAAATCAATAGTCTCATTTAGAGAATTTGTGACCACCAGGCAAAGACTGAGGTACCCCATGCAATCTGAATTGCATCTTGGTGAAGAAGGATGTTTATTAAAGGACTTAAAATGTGAGGGTAATTGAAAAAGTAGAATGATCTCACTGAAAAGCATTTCTACACTTCTCTCTGCTGCCCTGCCTGTCATCTGAACTCACTTTCTTGCCCAGAAGGGAATCATCTTTTCAAAACTGTCAGCAACTGGATGCACCAAGCTGGAAACTGAAGATTGGCACTTGAGGCTGCAGTCCCACACCATGTGTCCTGGCTCAGTTAGAACACCAAATGGGTCAAGGCACGAGTCTTCTCCTCTTCCCTCCTGAGGGTAGCTTTTTTCAAGCCTTGAAGAGAAAGTATCCCTCTCAAAGTTAGGGATTTTAGGGAAATAGAACAGAGATATGAACCCTTCACCCTATGTTAGGGGCTTTTAGTTCATTTTTGCTTTCTGGAGGTCTCTGCTATGACCATGAGGCCTGTGGCTGCAGGGCAAACTCTCTCCTTCAGTACCTCCAGGGTACCACAGCCACCGTGTGCCTTGCTCCATGTGCCTTGCTCCTTGCAGAACTGCTTGCTCTGCAGCTCCAGACAGGAGTGGAATTGACGTCAGGTGAAAGCGACCCTGCTGATGGACATGACCATATGTCAGCAGCAGCAAAGGTCTCTGCTGCACTTCCCCCATGATCCCATTCCCATTCTCACACTGCACCCTGTGATGTGGCATCCTCTCCCTGGGGAAGCAGCTCAGAAAAGGGATCGAAGTTACAAATAACAGGGGGGAAATTAAGGGGGCTGGGGGTATTAAGGAAAACTATTCTTTTTTGGCTGAATCAGTTTTCCAACCTATTGTATTGTACAACCACATGAGCACCTGGTGGTGGCCTGAGCCAAGAGCGGGAAACATGGTAAGTGGCTTAAACAGCACTGCCACATAGTGGTTGCATGTGAGGGAAAGACTAGCCCTGACTGCTGGTGGAAGAGGAGAAGGAGAGGTGGCCTGAATGGTGTCTGTATAACTTGGCCATGGAAAAGGGCTCTGATAGTGCGAGGAGGCTCCTGAGTTTTTCAGGCAAAAGTGTAACATAGCACAAGCCTCAGCAGCAGAGCTGCACGACTTGAAACTCAAAATGCACTCAGATTCCTGCTAGTGGGGGTGATTAGGCGTGGGAGGAGAGGAACTTGTGTTGGCCCAGGGTGTTAAAGAAGAGATTAAGCCATAAGTCATTCTTAACCCTAAGATTTGGGTCTCTCCTGTGCTTGTGTGCAAGCAGGGGGATGACACTGTCCTAATGAGCCAGTTGGGGAGGAGACAGAAACAACAAATGCCACCCCACTGGACTGGAGAGTGGCAGCTCTCTTTAAAGACTGCCCCATACTCAGTGGCCTGGATGGCAAGGATGGTGGTGTATCTAAGGAGCATGCAAACAGTATGACCTACTGGAAACAATGAAAAATACAAGACTTATTGTATTATTTTCCTAACACTAAAAACAATGTGTTCATGCCATGGGCACACTGCCGCTGAGCTGGTAGGACCTTCCAAGCCCTTTCCAGAGGATCTCTGCCCGCTGAAGAAAGTCAACGTTAAAGAAAAACCCTCCATGCTCTCTAGTGCTGGGCAGGATGCCTGTAAGCCATCTACCTTATTTGGTAATAATGATGCAGCCCCCAGCAGCCTGAAAAGCCAAGAACAACAGTTTCAGAATGTATTTACTGATAACTGCAATGAGAAAATCGATGTTTAATTACCCGCCCCTTGAGTCTCCGTACTGCTTAGCTCTGTGTCCCTTCTGTGCCATGTGAGGCACAGACTGGACAGGTACAGCTGGGAGGAGGACACTCTGGACAGCTCCAAGTAGAAGGGAGGCTTTAAGGCAGATTTTCAAAACGTTATGGATTTCGTCTTTGCTTAGCAGCTGGTTACTGTGCCGAAGCCATGAATCACACCACTTGAAGTGATTGAACGGGGGGAAAGAATAATAATAATAAAGAGGCAAACTAGCTCAGGGATAGGCTTGGGAGTCCTATTAAACTTGAGAGGCTACAATTTCTATTCCCAGACCTGCTGGTTAACACAAGAAAAAGCATCATGCTTCCCCACCCCATCCAAAGAGTTGTACTAGGCAAAAACTGAAGAGCAAACCAGCAACAGGTCAATCCTGTACCGTGTAGGCAAACGCTGCCAGCAGATTAACATGGCAGCACTCATGAAAAGTCTGCAGCAGCTCTGGCAAGCTTTGCAAAATTTATAATTCATCGCAAAAGGAACCAAATATGTGATGTTTGTTTCTGTGGAAGAATGGGAGGAGACTAATGGTAAAGGAGAGGGAGTGGGAGTGCGGAAGCGGGGAGAGGGGAAAGCAGAGAACCGAGCCCTGGCGAGTTTTCAGGGACCCGCAGAAAAAACTGTGTAAATGTGTGGTTCAGACCTCAAATACCTTGCGGTGCTTTGACAGTCTTCTGGGTTTTGGCATTTTAAACAAAGTGTTCTTACATTTACTAGGCTGGAATGCCCATTTGACTATAGACTCTCTGCTACTTTGCTTGTACTTTAACATTTTGGACACATGACAAAAATGTGTGTAACGCATTTTTTAAAGTGTTGATTGTGCTTGTAATTTTCAAGTCAGAATATAAAATAAACATCTCTGCCCTTTCTTCCAGCAGGCAGCACAGAGATCTGCTCTCCGCGTTCTATCTGACAGGTACATTTTGTCATTTTTATGAACTATAAATTGCTTTATGAAACGTTGAGCCCTATTTATTGTGGCATATAACTCATAATCGGATTTTGTCCCCAAAGTATCTGTGAACTGGGATGTTAAACATTTTGCATGCTTGGATTTGTCATGCATGTGTAGAGTTTATTACTGCAAAAATCATGGTCTTGTTGTATTTCATACACAGTATGCAGAATCCCTTGTTGTGATACCAAACGAGAGATAAGAAACTTACTGGAGAAGGCATGAATGATGCAGTAAATTCTGAGCTTTAGAGTTTGCTGAGATATATCTGAGCTCATTTTTCAGCAATAAGTACTTCATTTATTCCGAGATGTTCTCTTTTGACTTTTTCCAAATCCTTTCCCTGGGAATTACACTTCTTTTGATGAGATGGTATGTTTTCTGCACAAAAACAATGCCCTTTTTTAGCCCTTAAGTTTTAAGGGATTGGTATTTTGGAGGAATTTAATTAATTTTTTCACTTCTTCTGGAACCGCAGCAGTGCTCCAGGCAGATAAGCAGGGGATCTAATCCTTAGACAGTGTTCACGTTTTACTCAGCTCTTTTTCAAGCAAAAATCCATTAACTTCAATGGGAAACTTGTCCAAGTGAGGAATTCAGGATTTGGGCCATAGTAAATGTTATAGTTGGGCTGTAGGTCTGCACAGGTATTTACCTTAAATGACTTTTATGAAAGAGGATTGATTGAAATATAAGGTAGCTTTCTAAGACGGTCCTGATTTCTTTTCCAGTTTTGGGAAAGGGGGGAGGGAAGGGGGAGGAGAGAGACTGTACATTTTAGTGCCTGTGAAAAAGAACTAGCAGATTTACATTTTTCCACAAATGAGGTACTGTGTCATGCAGGCTGACACAGAGTAAATTTCCCCATGCCTTGTTGGCAGCCCCCTCTGCTCCGTCTGGCCCCCAGCCCCCCGCCTCCCTGGGAATAAGCGGTAATTGACTCTGGAAGCCAGCTCAGGCCAGGATTTCTCCAGAGCAGAGCCTGTCACTTAGGCTGAATTATATGTTGTGCATGGATGAATAACATTTCTCTCTGCTCAGAGGCTAGGACCGCCAAAATTATCGACCTTCCCTTCCCAAGTTTACAAACACGGTTTTGTTTAGAATTTTTTGCCCCCCGTTTAAGGAAAAAAAAATTCCCCAGTGAAATGTATGGGATTCGGGTGAAATTGCTGGCACAGTTGTAGGGCACAGAAGTATTTGCTGTAACTGGAATGAATGCAAAACAAAGAGGAGTTGGAGTCAGCATTATGCCCCTCTCCCCGGAGGTGGGCAAACTCAACCCTAAAGCAAAGCAGATTTTGCTCTTGGTGGGGACAATACCATGACTAGAGGAAACATGGGGATTTTTTCTCAGCATCCTTCCCCTGGGCTGAATGAGGAACATTTTTACAGAAATGCCCCTGGAGGTACCTAACAAGCCCCAAACCCTGCAGTTCACTTTCTGTCTCCCCTAGAAAGAAAAGTGGTGATGATGGATAAGTGGTCCCTACCTCATCAAAGGTGGAAAGGGAGCTGGACACAGACTGCCCTCATCCACAGGGCAAAAGTGTTAACCATCACACCTCAGATTTAATATTTATCATCAGATACTCCCATGTCTGCCCCTAGAATCGTGCCCAGGGACTACAGCTTGCTCACCTGCTCTGCCAGCATTCAGTGCTAGGGCACCCTTCTGCCCCTGCTTCTGGAGGGGGTGCTGGGAAGGCTGGGGGTGCACCCTGGGGGTTCCCTCACTGCCACCCCTAACCTCACTGCAGCAAGCAAAAATGAGGGCAGGGGGCCAAAATACCACACTGTGACGGCAGTTTCTGTCTCTTTTTGGCTAAAGGGAGGATGCCTGTGATACTGCTGCTCATTAGTTGTATCCTAGTAGCAACTGAGAGCTCCCAGTCACACACTAACGCTTCCCAGTATCAAGGGAGATGGCAGATTATATAAAGCTTTCAGTAATTTTGCCCACTATATAAAAAAAGAAAAAAATATCCTCCAGCAGTTCCTGTTGCAGTTCCTGCTTTCAGGTTCTATTAAAGAGGTAACAGCTAAACTAAAAGAGGAGAGGAAAAAAAACCCACAAACAAACAAAAGGAGTTTTTAAACTTGTAGCCATTGATTTCTGTAGTGTATCACACTCAGTCTTGTTTTCAGAATGACACAGTAACCCCCAGCAGATTTATGTGCAAACACAAAGATTAGTGACCCAGAAGCTTGACTGAAACAGCTTTTCTGTTTCCAGAAGACAGGTTGCTCTGCAGATGCACTGACTATTTTGTCAGAAAAGATGCACTGGCCCCATTAGCTTTTCATTCTCTCATGAAAAGCCTTCGGTGTTTATACAGCACAGCTTGGTTTTAATGTTATTGTGCTCTCCAGTAAAGTGGTCTAACTCTACAGATTACTCAGTTTCTGGGACAGAGAAGAGCAAGACCTTAACTCATATACCTTAATGGTATAGTGCTGGCATATTTTCAGTCGTCTGACTCTCGTACCCACTGCCTGAATGGCTTTCAAATGAAGAAAAATGTCTGTAACTAAAATATTCAGTGTGTTCTGTTGTTATTTAACAGTAAGCACTGTGGTTAAGCCAGGTCTTAAACCTGCTTAATCCCACTGAGCTAAATAGATTTTATTATTGACTCCCATGGTTCCAGAACTCTGACCTGAAGGCTGAAGTTAAAAGCTAATTTTTTTGCAGTCTGTTCCACTAACCCAGAACCACTTGCTTGCTGGATACATTTGCAATGGAGAACGCACAGCTGTAAATTACAGCTGTTTGCAATCATACCCAAACATAACACTCATTATTATTCTTTTGTTCTTTTTAGGCTGAAAAGCCCACCATGAGGGAGACCGCACAGTACTTAATCCACACATTAAATTTACTCACAGCTCATATTCATGTGCAAGATAAGATTTTCCATGAAGTAAAGATTTACAGTGGTCCTAAGGCATTTTTATTCCCCTGGCTGCTTTTATTTCTGTATGCTGGAGTGTAGGCCGAATGGGTCTGCTGAAGACTTTTGAATGCTTAGAGGAAAGTGTTGTACCACCACTGAATCTACAAGGCATAGATAGGTCCTCCACTGCGCTGCTTGGGTGGTGCTTGGATGGTACTTGGAGGTGTGCTTGCTTCCGAGGCACAGTCTGTTCTCCTTTCTGTGTACTTACACTGGAGGATGCAGGCAGACCCAGCTAGCTCTGCCCCTACAGATCTCGGCACAGGCATGTAAGGTATGAACCTGCTCATCCCAGCAGCCACACGGCTGTGCTGGCAGGCCTGTCCTTCACAGCTGATAAGCCCTGAAAGAGCCCAACTCACTAGCTTACACTCAGCACCTGATTCATATATACATGTTGTCCAGACCTGAACTGTCAAGTACGAGCTACGAAACCTTTTAGATTTACTTGTGCTATTGACAGAAGGCGGCGTCTCAGCACATCCATTTGGCAGTGTAGACAAGCCCTGTTCATGATGGCTGGTGAACTATACAGCCTGTCTGAGTTTCAGTCTAGGCAGAAAGGATAGTGCTTTGCATTTCCATGTAACCAGGCCTCATCCATCCAGGTCTGATCACGGTTAGGACACCAAAATGCAGGCCGTGCCAGCCGTAAGCTGGTTTATCCTAATGAGACTGGCCACTAGCACTCAAGACCCTGAAAAAGCTAACAAGTTTGCCCCCTTGTCTACGGGATAGGTGAAGGGTTGGGGGAGCTGAGAAGCAAGGGAGGCTCACAGCTGTGGGGGGAGAGACATTTGCAAGCAGAGGTGCTGCTACATCGCCTCTTATGGGTGAGTGCATCCATTTAGCACTCAGCTGCAAGCAAAATAGAAAAGGTTGACCTGGGACAATCCAGTCCCTTCCCCTGATATTGTAAGCAGCCACAGGCTTGGTGATTAGTCCAGCAGGATGTGTAGTATGGCTCTTCTTTAGACAAAGCCACATTGAGATACACTATTTGGGTTAGGAGGCCTGGGGAGGGACTGCCTGTAAAGTATTAAGGCAACAAAAAGAGGCAATTTAGACTTTTAATAGATCACTTAAGGCAGGGAAGGCAGCTGTCCAAGCAGCCTTAAACTTTTGGTGGACGGTGCCAAAGTTTTCTTGTTCTCAAGTATCTGCTTGAGCTGCGATTATGTGAAGCAGTTAAACTTGTGATACCCTAAAGTAAGTAAATAGTCCAGCTAGCAAAAAGACTCATGTGCTTCATGTCACTCACATACCTAACGTTTGTGTTGGACTGGTGTTTTTGATAACATAGTCTTTTATATCGTGAAAGTTCTCCACATGAGAAGCCATGTGGTCAACTTATCAGCAAGTGACTCAGCTAGCTGGCTGGCCAGAAGGGCTTCATGTGACAAGTCTGTGCCACCAGTGACAGCTGAGGGGAAGCCTTGGCTTGGGACAGCTGATCTGGGTCCCAGCAGACAATGTCAAAACTAAGATCACGGTCTCCACAGGAGTCAAAAAGCTTGGTTGGAGAAGAGCATACATGCACAGTGCTCAGTGCCACAGAAGTAGACATACAGCTCTCACAGCATTAGCATATTGCTTAAGCTTTCTGGATTATCTCTGAGAGGAAAAAAGAGACTACCTGTGACAGGGAATATGTGTATTTATCATTTATACCTTATGTGAGGCATGTTGGAAATGCTGATGTCTCAAAGTTGCAGCCCTCTCACACAGAATAGGGTAGCAAAGGGTGGCTGCTACTTGGTATGGTCTAGAGTCTCACAGTGGCGGTAGTTACAGAACTTGAAAGTGGAAGAGTAATGACATACATTGTATATAGGATACTATTTCCAGTATTGGAGAGTGTGGTGAATAGTGAAAAGGGGCTTTAGAAGAAAAGGCTGCATAGACGACTTGGAGTGAAAAGGAATAGGTATCTCTGTAAAACTGGGACTCCATTCCCCTTTATTTAATTTGTAAGCAAGACGTATAGCACTTGCCTGTTAGCTG